CCACCCCACCCACCCCAAGAACTAAAATTTGAGAGTCTTGAAATTGTACTACAATGTTACTTATAAAAGGCCAAACAGGTTCTCCCTTCAAATGTACCCAGTCAATGGAAGTAATCTGTGTACATCCAAGAGCATAATTTGGGATTTTATTACTGAGATCTATGGGAAAGTATAACTTGATCTGAGAGAGAAGGTGGGGAGAAGGAGAAAATATGTTAAAAGGAAGGAAAGTTAATATTTTAGGAAAATTTTGCTCTAAAGTAAGCACTGTAAATTCTAACAACTTTAAAATTTAACAAAAGTTGTCACTTAAAATCTTTTTTAAGTGGATGACTTATTTTGGAGCATTATTATTAAATATCCTAATCCAATTTATTCACAACAGTGGAAAATTCAGAAGAGAAAAAATGGAAAGTCCTATACTATATTTATAAAGAAAGAATTTGTTGATAATATATCAACATAGAGAAAATACTTCTGTCAGATGCTATCTACCAGTAGTTACAGAATTCAGGCCAAAATGACACACATGAATAGGGTGACCATATGGGACTACGGGAAATCCAGGACATCCACCACCTCCCAAGTTACTGGCGCAGCTGCAAGTGGAAGCAGAGCAGCATGGTGCACCAGGCAGTGCCTGCCTGCCTGTCTTCCTGACATACCACACCACTCTGCCTCCCCACCAGACTGCACCCAATACCTCTGCAGTTCTGGGATTCTTGCTTTAATCTTCACCAACTGGCCTGTGAAATCTGGGACTATTCCTGGGAAGCTGGGATGTTCAATTACCTTACATATGAATCAAAGAATTGTAGAGAAGTAGGGCTGAAAGGGATCTCCAGAGGTCATCAAATCCAACCTCTGGCCTAAGGCAGGATCCTCCCTATCCAAACCATTGTATACAAACCATAATCTAAACTTTACATAAGACTACTATAAACCCTGACACAACAAAGACCTAACACTGTAACCTACCACAGATAAATCAGAAGAACCAGGGCAGCTAGTATCCTGCTTCTATGAAATGTTGCCAATATATAGATCTCAAGAGATCTCAGGTACAGGGCCACATCCCTTGCTACAGAGGAAGGGAAAACCCCCTGGAGTTCATACCAATCTGACCACAGGGTAAAACTCTTTTCTGACCCCAAATATGGCAATCAATCTGACCCTGAGCAGAGGGGCAGGACCCTGTAGCCAGGAGCCTCTGGCTTTAGTCTCAGCAGGATCATTGGCACCCCCAGTCAAAATCTCCAGTCTTGGCTGCAGCCAACACCCAATGCCTCTGAAGAAATCTTAAAAACACCATGACACATGTACCAGAAAGCAGGGTAGGGGGCAACCAGCAAAGCCCAGAAGCATGGGAAATACCGATAATAGAACATAAACATTCCTACAGACCAACCTCTTCTTGAACACCTCCAGTGATGGAGAATCCACCACTTCCCTAAGCAGTCTATTCCACTGCCTCACTGTTTTAACACTGAAGAAGTTTTTTTCCCAGAAATCCAATCTAAACTTACTTTGCTCCCACTTCAAGCCATTGGTCCACGTCCTTTCTGCAGTAAGTGAGAAAAAGTGTTTTCCCTTTTCTTTATGGCATCCCTTCAAGTACGTGGAGACTGCTATCATGTCTCCTCTAAAGCACCTTTTTCACAAGCTGAACATACCTAGATCTCTCAGCCTCTCCTCATATGACTTGCTTTCCAAGCCTTTTATCATCTTTGTTGCCTGTCTCTGGACCCTCTCTAACTTCTCTGTGTCCTTTTTAAAATGTGGAGCCCAGGCCTGCACGCACTACTCCAGATGAGGGCTAACCAGTGCCAAAGAGAAAGGTACTATCACCTTGTTTATCTTTCCATAGTGCTGCCATCCAGCCAGGTGTCACCCATTTTATATTTGTGTTTTTGATTATTCCTCCCAAGGTGCAGCGCCTTGCATTTATCTGCATTGAACTTCATCCTGCTAGCTCTGGCCCAACTTTACAATCTGTTGAAGTATGTATGAATCATAGAGAAGCCAGGCTCGTAACACACTGTTAGTAACCTAAATACTGAAAAGTCTTAAAGTTCAAATACACTAACAGCAGCAGAAGAAAATAACATCTGGAGCACACAGCTGCTAAGCATAAGCACAGACTGAGCTGATTCACTGTGAAAACCACAAAGATTTGTCAGTTTTTTTAGATTAAACATCATTTATCTTTATGAACCTGCTGATCTCTTCCACTTTGTCATATTCTTCCATCTGGTCCAAATAGTTAGAAGCTGGGCCTCGCACTTGTTTTCTTGGGAAATCTGGAAAGCACAAGCCACCATCTTTTCTTGCATAGTAAAAGCAAAACTCATCAGCTGTTGTTTGGAGAAAACCTTAAAAATGTAAAAGAGCAGAAAAATATTCAGCATATTGTCATATCTGCCTGTTTTGAGCCTTCAAGCTAATCTTCATGTGGGGTATAGTTTGAAGGAAAAAAACCCATTTTTTAAACACAGGTCTATGTTACAGTAAAGATTTTTTTCTGGAATAAATACAGATACATAAATGGCTTTCTTGGGTTAGTCTTTTGACAGCTTTGATTTAAAAGGGATTAAAATGGCAATGATATTGCATGGAACATGGGCATTGAAAGGGAGCCATTCTGCCTTATGTTCAAGTTGTTCAGTAGTTCTCTCCAAAGAAGAGAACTACTAATAAAGCAGAACTTTATTTCTATTCTGTAACTTGTTCAGCCCTATGTTTAATTTTGTCCACTAACATGGGGGAACCCAAAGTCTAATTCCTCAGCCTCCAGCACTTCAAAAAAAGGAGTTCTTCATATTGCTCTGTAGTCTGATGAAAGCAAGCACCAATAGCTTCTATAAGTGATCTTAAGCTGAAAGGAGGTCTTTTGGGTTTGGGGTTTTGAACCAACAAAGAAAAATATGTGGAAATAAAGATCTTCAAGGAAGAGTATTACAGCTCTTGGCATTTTACAAATTTCAAATGACAGCAAGAATATAACCATCTATATACCCATTTCTAGAAAACTTGATCCTTGTTAGCCACATTTGCATCAGAAAGTAGAATTTGGCACTTCATATACGTGTGGGGCTTCTGGTAAGATGTAATAAGAGGCCCTAATTTAAAAATCTTAAAGTTTCCCATGCCTTGCCAGAATAATGAAAAAGGGGAGGTGTATGGGCCAGGACATCACAGCATATACAGAATCCATAATGGTGTGGCGTACTGTAAAGGTTTTATTGGCACTCAGTTGGGATCATCTGCATGTGGCCTCACCACATATGAGTAAGGAACTTGTCTCAGACTCATGCCAATAAAAGCTTTGGCCTGCAACATGTAATTAGAGCTGGTCATGGATTTTTTTTTTTTGACAAAACTGTTTTTTTTGTTGGGAAGTACCAGTTTTTTGAAATTGCAACTTTCTACAGAAACGCATACGTTTCACCAAAACTTTATTTGGGAAACTTTTCATGTCTAGGATGGAATTTCTGGTCAAAATGAATGGGAGAGACAAACAGACAACAAGATTCATCCTGATACAGGTAACAGTTGAATGGTTAGCTTATTTTCCCAGTGGGAGGTAGGAGACCTTGGTTTACATCCCAGTTCCATCTGATTCAGAACAGAGAATTGACTTTGAGTTTTCCACCTCTCAAATGTATTCATAATCATCAGGTAATTAGGTATTTTGTTTTTTCATGAAGGAAAAAAGGAGCCTGTGTTCATTCATATACAGAATGGAAAATTAGTTGAAATCTCAAACATCCTGAAAGAATAGGAAATCCAATTTTCACCCAGCTCTCCTTAGAATTGTGTTTTTCTTAGGTGAATCTTATATTGGGATTCCTCAGGAATCTCCCCTGTAAATATCCTGTTTATTTCAAATAATAAGCTAAAATTTACTTTTGGATTATATAAAATATTTGGAACACATGATAGTGGGTTGTAATACAAAGGTTTGATAGGCATGAATTTGGTATTTTAGTAAATATCAGCTGCAAAGAGCTGGAAAGAGAAAATTGGGAGAAACTGAGATAAATAATTTTCATATGAAACAACTGAAGATGAATCATGGAATGATAAATATCAAAGCGTTGTAGGTATCATGCCAGACTCGAAGGTAATCCAAAATTCTATTCAATTATTTGATATCAACAGGCATAATTTGAAATTTAATAATGTCCTACTCTATGCATCATAAACATTCAACATAAGTATGATGGGGAATTGGAGTTGGAGAATTCAAAAGCTGAATATGTCATTTTATTCAGGTCAGCTATTCTGAATTTGAATGTCATCACTATAACTAGGAGTACATTTTGATCACTGTGTAGTCAGCCTATGTTCATTTCTAGTAACAGACAGATATAAACTCATTTGACAAATACCTTATGGAATTCCCTGTACATATACATAATGTCACAGCTTTATGCCTTTGGTTCTTTTTATTACGATGTATATTTTAGCGTGTATACAAGTATGAATTGTGCTGCACTTGTTTTTGCCATTCAGCAAACCCATCTCTTTCTTCCCTACAAGCACAAGAGATAATCTGAGGTGCATTTGGTAAAATCCTGTTTCTACAAATTGGGGTTTGAGCTGAACTGTAAACACTTTGTGTCACTCAAAGACTAAATGGTTAAGAAATAATGGAGCATCAGTTGTACATTATCAGTGATGTTTTCAAAACTGCTCACCATTGGCCTAATCTACTGCCATTAACTTCAGTGGGAGTGTAATTAAGCCAATGCTGAGTATTTCTGAAAACGCAACTCTTTCCATCTCCCATCTGGCTAAGGTGCTGCCAATGCATAAAAGGTGAGAATTTGGCCACTATGTTGTTCTTGATAAGAAAACAGCTACTTACAGAAATATCTGCTACCATATCTTAGGGCCCTTTTAGACATTCAGGTAAAGGTGTGATAAGATCTGATACATGATCCACAGAATTGCACCTGCTGCCTTGTCACACATGCATAGCAGGAAGCATGACTGTGGGATCCAGCAGCAGATACTGTCACGCCTTATAGGCAGGTACAGCAGGAGCCTGGAATTGCCACCCCAGGCTCCCCCTGCACCAGCAAGTAGAAAGGTCCTGCAGCTGCAAATTCTATAGTTGATAGAACCTGCAGCTATGGCAGCCCTGAGGCACCTCCAGGACCCAAAGTCTACAGCCATGGGACACTCAGTCCTGGCAACTGTAGCCCCCTCAGCTGTGGAAGTTCTAGCCTTGACTACACATGGTGTACCCCTCTGGCTAAAAGCTCTGTCACTTGACCCAGTTCCCAGCCACAGGGGGAGGTCTTGCTACACATGCAAATTAAAGCTGGATTGCAACCAGCTTCAAAGTTATTGCACATTTGCCGGCTCTAATTTTATAGCTGGTTGGAACTTTTATGGTGTGATAGTTAGTTTGTACATGTAGCCAGTCTTAATAAATTGTGCGTTTAACCTTGTAATTGCGGGGTGCATGTAATGTGTTGTAGGGGCCTTATATATAGACATACAGACTGGTTGAATAAAGAAATAATTATACTGCATATGGGGGTCAAAAATCTGCAGTATTGTTCTATTCCCCTGTCTATTGTATCCATTTATTGTCTCTTGTCTTTTGCTTGGATTGTGAGGACTGACTTTTTGTTTATACTTGTACAGCATGTAGAGCACAGTCAGGCCTTGTTCCATGACTGGAACTCCTAGGACATTTATAGATGTGCTCTGGGAGGTGGGGAGGTTGGGGGATGGTGTGGATGCTTTAATTAGGGTGGCTCTGAGAGCCACCCTAATTAAAGTGCTTGCAGTGTCATGTGCATTGGAGTCCCTGTGCTGAAAAATGGTGGGGGTGCTTTAACTAAAGCTCATCAAACCAGAGTTAGTTTAAAGCGCCCCACCACCATTTTTCAGTGTGGGGACACTGATACATATGATGCTGGAGTCTGCTGGAGCACTGTAATTACCTTGCTCCAACAGACTCGATTAATCGTGCTGTAATTACAATGCGTCAGAGCAGCCTCTCTGCATGTGTATAGGCACCCCTAGACACCAGGGTAACATCAATTGTAAATAGTAATTTTGTTCATTTTGTAGTGAAATATATTTGCCACTGATTTTTCTGAGAGCTGACTAAAGACTACAGAGTTTGGCCTTCTGTGAATTTCTGTAGCTCTTACTATGTTTTTAAAGAACCATACGTGTCATTACCAATTTCCTACCAATTGTAGGAGTGTTGACACAGCAATGACTGTACTCACACAGAGAAAACCTCAAATCACAGAGGAAAGACAAAATGTAAAGTAACGGTACTGTACACTTCGAAGTTTTGCACAGGCCTGTATTTGACATACTTTGCAGAATTACTGTCCTGAAAACAAGAATCATACTGTCCGTGAGTCATATGGGCCTTTCAATCAAGGAAAAAAAATTAAGAGTTTCTGCGTTATCAGGGTTTTAGAAGGAAGAGGAAGTTGCATGATTCAAAGCTGTATGCACATAGAATGTTTCTCTGATCCCAGATCCAGTGCTCATCTCTAATCTCTATTGACCTACATTTGCGATTCAACTCTCCCACTCAGTTGATGTAGTCTTCACTAAACACCACTCACTGGTCTTACCATCACTGGATTATCCATCTAACAGTACTTTGTCTCCCCCAGTATCACTCATCCTTTCTTTTCTTTTACCTTTCTACTAATTCTTTACTGTCTCAGTCCATCAAAATCCACAATAGAGCTAGTGGAGAAAACTGGGACAAATTTCAGTGGCATTTTCTCAAATTTTTTACTATTTTTTTCAATATTTTCAATGGCCAAAAATCATGTTTTGGTGAAACTGTCATCCAGACTTTAAAATCTGAAAAAATTATCGAATTTAGTCCATGGCATTTTTTCTGCAGTAAGGGAAGAATTCTGTTTCCCTTTGTGCACCAAAATGGCAGTTTTCTAGCTGTTTAAGTGGTGTTTTTGGTACTTACATACAGGTTGCATTTCTATTATCCCTTCAGCATGAGTTCGTAAGTGTGCATACATAGACTGAACATTGCACAATAGAAGACTATACACTAGCCAGGCACATAGGTGACTGTGTACATGTGCCCACTATATACCTGGTGTACTTGTAAGTGTGTGAGAGTCACAAAAACGTAGGTGGCTAGAGCCTACATCTCTGACTTTCCAGGAGTGTGATAACCACCATGACACAGGTTAGGCATTATTTAATCTATTCTCTAGAGCACTTTTTGAAGCTGGCAGGATCAGGAGGAAGAGCACAAGCTGTAGAATGTATGCTTCAGTGAGATGCTTGCTGCTCTTGAAGGAAGTAGGCCCTGGATTCTAGCCTGATCCTTGCATCTAATGGGGCAAAAACTTACATG